GCGCGCGCCGGGGGGGCGCTCTGCACACCCGCGCGCTCCGCTTGCCGCCCGCCCGCCTTCCGCCAGCGGCGGCAGGCGGCCACTGGCGACGACTCGGGGCCCAAGAGACGGGGTCCGTGCAAGCGGGGGTCGGTCAGAGCGCCGGATCTTGCAGGGTCTTGCAGGGCCAGGGGTGCACCGACCTGGGCTTGGGTGCAGGATCCTGCAGGAGCCTGCGGGATCCTGCAACGCCGGACCGACCCGGGTCGGGATTGACCTGGGTCAGTGGGTCCCCGAACGACGAGGGCGACGACGCTCTCACTTTGGATTTCCTCACGATTTGCTCGGGAATCGCACTGTCGCTCGAGAATTTCTTGCGAGCCATGTTGGATTGACGCTTCCGCAACCCGCCCGCTCGACTCGGCCGCCTGAGCCCGCCTTCCCGACCCGCCCGATGGGGTCTAACCGCCCGATCAGCCCGTCTGGTTCTGCCATGTGTTTTTTGCTCCCAGCCGCCCTACAGCCAATCTCAGGAATCACGCTCTCGCCTGGGATTTCCCCACGATTTACTTCGGAGTCGCGCTATCGCTCGAAACTTCTTGGCGATTCATAACCGAGAACGGCCGAGAATAACCCCCCAGGGAGAATAAAGTTCGCCGGTTAGGGTGTGATAATAAAAGTTGCCCACCAGTGCCAGCATAAAGATGTTAACAGAGGAGTCAAAGCCTAGGATATCTTGAGACATCCTTGGCTTTTTGTCCTCTCTGAAACATCCTGAAGGAACGTGTCGGCTTTTAATATTTTTATAATACAGAACTGAAGCTCGGAGGTGCGCGCGCGCGCCTCTGAGCTTCATTTCTATATTATTCACCATTAATAAATCGACATTTAATTCCAAAGACGAAATTGAAGAATTTTGGAGCCCTTTAAGGAGGCTGAAGGAACGTGTCGGCTTTTAATATTTTTATAATACGAACTGAAGCTCGGAGTTTCTATCGAGATTCCTCATGTGCCTCGTTTTCCCAGGATAATCAACCACAGCGATAAACAAGTTCAGGGGGGCATGGGGAGGAGAAGACAGATAGAGAGATACATAGAAATATAGAAAGAGGAGAGGAGGTAGAGGAGGAAGAGGAGGAGGAGGAGAAAGAGCAAGAGGAGGAGAGGAGAGGAGAAGGAAATAGCACAAATCCAAAGTTTTAAACTTATTGTATTCAATTTGTAAGCGCTTAAAACAAAACCAAACAAAATCATCTGCTCGTGTAGGGTAGCTCACGTGCTTCGTTTCCCAGGATAACCAACCCCAGCGATAAACAAGTTCAGGGCGCCAGAGGGAGGAGGAGGAGAAAGAGATAGAGAGACAGAGAGAGAGAGAGAGAGAGACAGAGAAAGAAAGAAAGAAACACATAAATAACTACAAAGAGACAGAAGGACATGGGTTTCGCTTGAGACATCCTGAAAAAGCGTGTTCGCTTCGCTTGATGTTGCTATCTCAACATAAGAAGGAAGTAACCTCGATGGCGAACTTTTCCCCGTGATAATGAAGTTCGGCCTCCGCGCCCCCGCGCCCCCGACCAAACTCTTCTTGGCCGTGGATAATCAATTCTTATGTGTATAGGGGGGGGTACATTATTATCGTGGGTATGGGGTTATTGGATTGCTGCTTCAGCGACGCGCTCGCTTGACCCTGCCGTCTAGGCCCGCCCGCCCGACCTGTCCGTTAGGGTCCGGCCGCCCGACCCGCCCGTTTGATTCTGCCGCTTTGATTCCTGCTCGTAACCCCCTCCTGCAAATATCTGTCGTGCTCGTACTTAATCCGGTGGAAGTCGATTAATGGAGAGGAAGCGTGCTGCGAAGTAATTTCCAGATATCTGAAACATAGGTTTTAACTGCTTAAACATATAAAACACATGCTTTCAACATCAGGACATTGTCCGACATTTCAAACATATATTTAATTCGATGATAGGACTGTTAGGGTGTCCATTGTCGTGGCATCCACAAACTTACTCCTTCTTTCTCACCCTTGTCTCTTCCCTCCTCCCCTCCCTTCCCTGTGTCAGCGTCTGCGCCAACTACACCAGGCAGGTAGAGAAGATATACCCCCAGCGGGTACGATCGAAGTCGAAGAGGGCAGGTATCGAGGGATTGGGCAGGTATCGAGGCACGCGAGCAGAAGTAGCGAACAGTCTTAAAATGATTGCTTTTGTTGGATTCTCGCTTGTGAACAGAAAATATGGTTGATCCCCCCCCTAGCGCATTTTTCATCAGGGAAAGAGTCTTGGTTCTCAAACTCTGTGTTGTTGGCCCCTGGTTTGCAACAACAGCGGCTCCCGCCTGATACCTCCTCCCAATTTATTTCAGTTTCGCGCTCTCGTGCCGGACATCGTCATAGTTTATTCAGGAACCGCGCTCTCGCGTGCTACTCCCTTGCAAGTTCTTGCGGCGCCGCTCCCTGAAGTCTCAGGAGGAAACAAGCTCTCGCACTTGATTTTCTCACGACTTACCTGGGAATCGTGCTGACGCTTGAAGCTTCCTCGCGATTCATGTTGGGCTGGCGCTTCAGCGACCCGCCCACTCGACCTGGCCGTCTGGTCTCGCCTGCCCTACCCGCCCGTTAGGGTCCGCCCGCCCGACCTGGCCGTCTGGTTCTGCCGCTTGTACTCCGGCTCGTAACCCCCTCCTGCAAATCTCTGTCATGCTCGTACTTACTCCTTCTTGCTCCCCCTTGTCTCTTCCCACCTCGCTCCCTCTCTTCCACTGTTTTAGGGGCTGCGCCAAGTACACGTGGCAGGCAAGGAAGGCATACCCCCAAGCGGGTGCGATCGAAGACGCAGAGGGCGGGTATCGAGGGTTAGAGATAATTGCACGTGTTGGACTGCACGCGCGCAGATAAGAGCGAACAGTCTTAACATGAATAATGTTGTTGATGGCGAAGATGATGGGGAGGATGAGGATGATGGGCGCAATGGTTGCGACGATGCCGGTACGCAAGGCGACGGTGTTGCGTATTCGTATAGTATGATAGTGCAGACGGGGATGATGATAATGATGAGGACGATCATGATGATGTTGATTATGATGCGTGATGATGAGGAGGATGCTGTGGAGGGTGATGATGGTGTTGTGATGGTGATGATTGAGATTCAGATGATGATGTTACTGATGGCGACGATGATGATGGTGGTGATGCGACTGCTGCTGTATGATGATGATGACGATGTATGTGATTATGAAGGTGATGATGATGCCTGTGATGATGCTGCTGATGACGATTTTGTCAATGACGATGACGCTGACGATGGCGCTGATGATGGTGGTGACGATCATGTTGCTGGCACTGATGCCGACGACGATGACGATGAAGATAACGACGACAATGAAGGCGATGATGATGATAATGATGATCATGATGACGATCATGATGACGATGATGATGATGATGAGGATGATTATGAGGATGATGATGATGATGCTTATGCTGATGATTGTTACGATCGTCACGATGCTGATGATGCTGATGCTGTTGACGCTGCTGATGATGACAATGCTGATGATTCTACTGCTGATGACGATGCGAAATTGGATGAGGATGCTGCTGCTGCTGATGATGATGCTAATGATGATGATGATGATGATGATGATGATGATGACGATGATATTGATACTGATGATGATGTTAACTTTTGATGATGGACGCCATCACGGTTTACGATGACGAATATGATGATGACAATGTTGGTGGTGATGGCGATGCTGCTGATGATGATGCTGGTGTGAAGTGACGCCGCTGCTGCTGCCGATGATGACGATGATGATTACGATGCAGATGATGATGCTGATGACGATGCTGATGCAGCTGATGATGATGATGATGATAATGATGATGATGATGATGATGATGATGATGATGATGATGATGATGATGATGATGATGATGCTGATGATTCCGATGATGCTGCTGCTGATGCTGATGATGATGACGCTGCTGCTGCCGATGACGTTGATGATGCTGATGATGAGGATGAGGATGAGGATGACGAGAAGGAGGAGGATGATGCTGATGTTTCCGATGGTGCTGATGATGACGATGACGCTCGTGTTGATGATGGTGATGGTGGTGATGATGATGCTGATGATGGTGGTGGTGGTGGTGGTGATAATTCTGATGCTGCTGCTGATGATGATGATGATGATTCTGCTGATGGTAAGTCTGCTGTCGATGCTTTCGATCGTAACGATGGTGATGATGCTGCTGCTGATGATGATGCTGCTGATGATGATGATGAAGCTTATGATGCTGCTGTTGATGATGACGCGGCTACTGATGATAATGATGCTGATGATGAGGATGATGATACTGATGAGGGTGTTGTTGGTGGTGGCGATGCTGCTGCTGATGATGATGATGATGACGCCGCTGCTGCTGCCAATAATGACGATACTGCTGCTGATGCTGCTGATGGTGATGCCGCTGCTGCTGCCGACGAGGAGGAAGAGGGTGCGGAGGAGAAGAAGCAGGACGATGATGATGGTGATGATGATGATGATGATGATGATGTTGTTGATTATTATGATGATGGTGATGGTGATGGTGGCGATGATTCTGATGATGCTGATACCGATGATGATGCTGCTGCTGATGATGATGATGATGCTGATGCTGATAATGATGCTGATGATGATGATGATGATGATGATGATGATGATGATGATGATGATGATAACTGGTGATGATGCTGAATGGTGGTGGTCATGATGTCGACAATTCGTGGCGCTCATGCTTATGTGGATGGGGTGGCTGACCTGGTGACGACGAGGACGAGTAATCGTGAAGGCTGAGGAGGCGCGGAAGGGGGTTATAACGGACGAGGGGGAAGAGGGTGCGGAGGAGGAAGACCAGGACGAAGATGATGATAAACTTGATGATGATGCTGATGATGATGATGATGATGATGCTGATGTTAATGATAATGATGATGCTGATGTCGAACGTGATGATGATGATGATGCTGATGCTG